ACATCTGGAAGTGCATAGTTTTTGGGAGATAAACTCGTGTGTTAGTCCTCCAAGAAGCAAAATTGTGTGTAAACATCTACAGCCGAGGCCGAATATGTCGCAGCTGCTAGTTGTTGTTCACAAATCATATGGATGAGGACACAACTACGAGACTATGAATTCACTTTCAATCACATTCCCGTATACAGTGATTTCAAGAGCACAATTGTCATAACCAACAATCTAGTCCACCACTCTCGTACCAAATACATTGATTTGCGATATCATTTCATCATGGACCATGCGGAAAAAGTAGATGTTGATCTGTATTCTGTAAGCTCTGAGGCTGACTTGTTTACTAAGGCTCTTAACAAAAACGACTTCAATTCCTGGTATCTGAGTTGGACATGTTGAATCTTGAGCCCAATTAATTTATGAATCCTTCGGTCCAAATCAAAAGTGTGTGCCTATTGCATGTGTTGAGGGGAGTATTTCAATAAAACTAAAAATAAAAGTGTTTTTTCCATGCATAAATTGAGGGGGAGTTTTTATCTGTATAAGTTAGTCTGTAAGTAAATTCCATGTGAGTGTTTATTTTTCTCTCTCGCATGTGTCATTTTTTTCTTTTTCTTTTCGCACACGAAAGGAATTTGAAAAACGTTTTTCTCGCATTTCACTCACCACTACCCCTCTTCCATCCACATCGAGTCTAGGTGTCATATTTCCTACACTACTCACACCGCCCACTATAGGTACACTTTGTCTGAATGAAAAGACCAGAGTGACAACTATGATGGTCGAAAGCCCTGTTACGAAACAAATGGTTACACCATTCAACACAGACCACACATTAATCTTTATTGATGTTGTGACAACGGTAAACACCCCCATTACCGGAAGTGACAACCCCGCAACCAGGTGAAAATTTTGGCAACATATTTTCATATTCGAAAATGAAAACGGAAAATTGAAGAACAAAAAACTAAAAAATCAAAAGAAAAAACCAGAAAGCTTAAAATATTTAGGGTCTGTTTGCAACTGCTTTTGCTTAAAAGGGTGCTTTTTTTAATGAACGTGGAGAAGTGATTAATTGTAAAAGCTGATAGTGTTTGGAAATAATTGATTATATAAAAAATGTTGAAATTGGGGTGTTTGATAAAAAAGTGATTATTGATGTATTTTTTTATGAATGTAGTAAAATGCCCCCTCTCTCTTTAAACCTTTGTAACTTCATTATTTCCTTTCATCTTTGGCTGCACGCAGGTATCTCCCCAGCGAAAATGTCTGCTCCAAGACAAGGTGACCTAAGGTTGGCGAAAAAAGGTCTTGGGAAACAAGTTCATCCTAAACAAGGTATGTTTCACTCAGAAATTGCATCTTTGTAGCTTCAATTTTTTCTGTCTCGATTAAACATGGCCAACGTTCTTCGCACCTTGTTTCTGGTTGAAACGAATAAAAGTAGACTGGAGTAGGGTGTTCACTATTGAGATTATTTAAATATTATCATCATAAACAAAATTGTCAAATGTCATCCTGTAATCTGCCATAGAGTATTTCCAACCAAGTGTTCAATGGAGGGTGTTCACTATTGTTCGTCTATTGGAGTAGTTTTAAATAGACTTCAAAATAGAGTTTTCATTAGAGTTTTCAATATATTAAGCTACTCTTTGTCATAGTTTCATCTTCAATTGAGGGTGTTCACTATTATTCGTCTCTAACTATTTCCAACCTCAAAAAATATATTTGTACCCCAAAAAACAAAAAAACTCATACATAAGTATATAGAGTTATTTATGAAGAATGACAAAGATGTAAAAGTAGCTTCGATGTATGAATTTTTGAACCACTTTGATCTTTGTAAAAGTATTTCAAGCTTCCGTTTTCTTTAATCTCTAAATACATCTAAATATTCTCAATCAGTTGAGCATAATTCTTGTTAGACGGCTCAACCTTCTAAACTGTTTTTTATCTTAACTCTGAACTCACTAATATGAAATACAGTTTTAGAGTTTTCAATGCATTTATTTAATCAGAATAACTTCTACGTTTAACTCAATAACCAAAAATTCCAGCGAACCCATTCCTCTACATCTCTGGAAAACATATTTTTTGTAGGCCTTTGATGTCCTATCTGGTGAATTTAAATAAACTTATTATGATCATTTAAATAAAATCATTGGAGGCTGACCAAACCTGGTACAGTTTTGCCAAAATAAGACTGGAACTGAGTCAACCGACCAGAGTGGTTCTGTTTTTTTTTTTTTTATTTCTTTGGAACCATAACCAGTGGGTAACTTAGAATTGGCAGCTCTACTTAGAATTGGCCAGTGCATAGAAAAATAACAACCTCTTACATCTTATACATTAGATGCATCCAAACAAAATATGACCAATTTATTCCCACTTTCTGTTTTTTTTGTTACTCATTATGGACTTCTCAAAATATTTGATTATTATAAGTGTCCTCTGATTCAATAGGTACTTCTATCACCAATTTGTTTGCAATGGTGTCTTGGACACCGAATGAAGAGAAGTTTCTTATAGAATGAAGAGTTTCAATGAGTTTCTTAAGAAGTTGTTTGAAATTCAAGTAGCATTTCTATAAGAAACTTCTCCTCATTGGGTGTCCAAGACACCATTGCAAACATCTTGGTGATAGGAGTACCTATTGAATTAGAGGACACGTATAATAATTAAATATTTTGAGAAGTCCATAATGAGTAACAAAAAAACCAGAAAGTGGGAATAAATTGGTGATATTTTGTTTAGATGCATCTATTATTTAAGATGTAAGAAGCTGTTATTTTTCTATGCACAGGCCAATTCTAAGTTAGCCACTGGTTATGGTCCCAAAGAAATTGAAAAAAAGAAAAGAAAAACAGAACCACTCTGGTCGGTTGACTCAGTTCCAGTCTTATTTTGGCAAAACTGTACCAGGTTTGGTCAACCTCCAGTGATGGTATTTAAATGATCACAATAACTGTATTTAAATTCACCAGATAGGACATTAAAGGCCCACAGAAAATATGTTTTCCAGAAACGTAGAGGAATGGGTTCGCTGAAGTTTTTGGTTATTGAGTTATACGTAGAAGTTATTCTTATTAAATAAATGCATTGAAAACTCTAAACCATTGTATTTCATATTAATGAGTTCAGAGTTCACATAAAAAACAGTTTAGAAGGCTGGGCGTCTAACAAGAAGTATGCTTAACTGATTGAGAATATTTAGATGTATTTAGAGATTAAAGAAAACAGAATCTTGAAATACTTTTACAAAGATCAAAGTGGTTCAAAAATCATACATCGAAGTTACTTTTACATCTTTGTCATTCTTCATTCTTCATTCTTCATAAATATAACTCTATATACATCTGTATGAGTTTTTTTGGGGTACAAATATATTTTTTGAAGTTGGAAATAGTTGGAGATGAATAGTAGTGAACACCCTCCCGTGAAGATGAAACTATGACAAAGAGTAGCTTAATTTATTGAAAACTCTAATGAAAACAATATTTTGAAGTCTATTGAAAACTACTCTAATAGACGAATAGTAGTGAACACCCTCCATTGAACACTTAGTTGGAAATACTCTACGGAGATTACTGGATGACATTTGACAATTTTTTGATAATAATAATATTTAAATAATCTCAATAGTGAACACCCTACTCCAGTCTACTCTTATTGGTTGAACCAGAAAACCCTAGTCTCAGACCACCCATCGACCATCATTCTTAACGCAGAACAATTGCTAGGAATAGGGGATGAAGTAATGACAGTCACATTCGACTCAAAGGAAACGAAAATGGTTTAATCGTCTAAATCCAAGCTGGTTACGGCAGAAACAAGGTGCGAAGAACGCCGACCATGTTTAATCGAGACGGGAAAAAAATGAAGCTACAAAGTTGCAATTTCTGAGCGAAACATACCTTGTTTAGCATGAACTTGTTTCACATGACTTTTTTTCGCCAACCCTAGGTCACCTCGTCTTGGAGTAGACATTTTCGCCGGGGAGATACTTGCGTGCGGCCAAAGATGAAAGGAAATAATGAAGTTACAAAGGTTTAAAGAGAGAGGGGGCATTTTAGTACATTCATAAAAAAACATCAATAATCATTTTTTTTACCAAACACTCCAATTTTAACACTTTTTTTAATCACTTTTTTCCAAACACTATCAGTTTTTACAATTAATCACTTCTCCACGTTCATTAAAAATAGCACTTTTTTTAAGTGAAGCAGTTGCAAACAGACCCTAAAAAAACTGTTTTTGGCTTTCGGCTTCTGGCGAACGGAGAAGTGGTCCGCTGCAAACACTTATTTTGACTCCTGCTTTCAGAAAAGCCCAAAAGTGCTTTTCAAAAGCATTTGCAAACCAGCCTTTAGTAATCGGACGAGTAAAAGGTCAGATTGGTCCTCGAAGTTGCATAAAAAGGGTCAAATAAGTCCTTATATAGGAGGCTCTGTCCGCCCGTCGCCATTTGGGGCGGTTCTCGGTGAAATTTTTTGATGAAATTTTTTGAGCATCTTATTCATTAAGTCTAGTTTACTCATACCAAATTTCAGCTAAAACTTCAATCGAGAAGGCATTCAAATGAAGTCTTGAAGATAACTGCGTAGTTAAAAGCGCAATTATCTTCAAGAATTCATTTGAATGTCTTCCCGATTGAAGTTTTAGCTGAAATTTGGTATGAATAAACTAGACTTAACGAATAAGATGCTCAAATCAAAAAATTCCACCGGGAACCGCCCCAAATGGCGATGGCCGGACAGTAAAGACTTATTTGACCCCTTTTATGCAATATCTATCACCAATCTGGACCCTTAGTTGAATCCAACCTATTTGATCATATGTTTGCGAGTTTTGCTAGGTGTACACATTTTGTGTACACAAAATATGTACATATGTCTGTCTTTCGCAGAAAATTTGTTTGTTACATACAACTGTTTTTGAGTTGTAAAATTTTTCCATGTTTGCTGCGTTGTTATTTTACCATAGACATCTTTCAAAATAAATGTTGGGGACACCCCTTCATTGACATCTGTCGGACACACACACCCTCAGCTATGGTGAATCCCTCATCCTCATTGACTTGCACGAAAGTTACGTTGCTGACAGTGTTAGCGATCGCAATACAAATCACTGGTCTATGTCTCTTCATTTTGGGCTTCTTTCCCGTTACGCCTACTCTCTCTGGCGTCAGGTACGTACTTTCCTTTTGAGTTAAAACTAGGGATGGCAACAGGTAAAACTAGGGTTTGGGGCGGGGTTTCACTCGCCCATCCCGCCCCATATCTAAAAAGTTTTCCCCATCCCCGCCCCATCCCCGTCACTCCCAAATCCGCTCCATCCCCGCCCCACCCTGCTGCCCCCACGGGTGCCCACGAGTGCCCACGAGTGCCCCATATATATTTTAATTATCTTATTTGTGTATTTTTTTAATCTTTTTTATAGATAAATAAATATATATAAAGAACTGAAAGAGTTAAACTAGATAATATTGTGTTCGATAAAAGATGATACCGCCAATTTTTAATAATTCTTCAATTTGAATAAGTTCTATGAAGATAATAAAACTAAAAGTATAAATAAACATATTACCATCATGTATGTCGTTCCAAATTTCTCATCAATTGTACTACAATTAATTATATATATTATACATGTGTGTGTTCTATTTACTTAGTTTCTCACTTTTAAAACTCATATATCATTTATGATAAATATTTTTAGTCATTACCTATTATTCTAATATAATACTTACGTAGTATTAGTACATGTATGCATGTCTATAAGTATGTGTATGTGTTTGTTATATAGTACATATAATTTAATTAAATATGTTTATACATTATTAATATATGCATGTAATATATATATATATATATATATATATATATATATATATCTTTGAGTAGTATATATTTATAACGGGGACGGGGCGGGGACGGGGCGGGTGTAGTAATCCCCATCCCCGCCCCATATTTTAGCGGGGTAGAAATATCTCACTCATCCCCGCCCCCGCCCCACCCCAAGCCCTGTCCCATCCTTCCCCCACGGGGCGGTTCCCCACCCCGCCCCCATTGCCATCCTTAGTTAAAACCCAATCTCAAAACAACTATGAATTTCTACATATCTTAAAAAACGAGTTACTTTCCCGGAACATTTAAATTTAGAGGCGTGAGGTGGGGGTAAAGTTTGAATGACAGGCCTCACTCTTTGAACTGGCGCGAATAGGGGAAGTCTATTGTATAACATTTTAGATTTTTTTTGATAATTTCTACTCAGTATTGTATCATGATATACAAAGAAAAAGAATATATGTTAAAAAAAAACTAATATGTAATTAAGCATAATTACATATTTTTGTTCAATTTTTACAATTAATATGTAATTTTGACGAATGAAATGTACAAATACAAACTACGTAGTAATATATTGCTACTTTTTATTGCTCCGTATAAAATTACATATACAACATTTTTATAGATTTTTTTTTTAAAACTAATCAATTTTTTCGCTGCAAAAAACAGTTTATCTAAAAATTACAGGCTTTACAGCCTTTTCAGGCTTAGTGGTCAACTCTCCTGTTGATCGTCTTTTCATGCTTTTCTACTATGCAGGGCGTATTCCATCGCCTCATGCCTATCCCCACCTCTTTGCGCCTTTTGAAACACTGATACTAATGGTCATTTTCCTTTTTAGTACCTTATAATTTTCTTTCTTTTCCAACTTCAGCGGATTGGAGAGCTTTTATCCACCAGGCTCGAGTTCATTTGAAAATAAAAATGAGACCATTTTGCCTAATCAGCTTAAATCCTTGTATCAGGTGTTTTACATTTATATGCATACATAGATAAGAGTAATATCAGGTCGACAGTTCTTTTCAGCTATGCTTTGTTTTTTAAATTTCTTTTAATATTTATTGCATAATCTGCTAAATGACGTTTTATGTTTTTTAGGATAGTAATTGTTTGCACATTTTCGGCAGTTAATTGGTGGATTTTGTGAACGCAGGAGCTGTCTGAGGTGCCTCCATTTTTTGACAGGTTGATACTGCTGGTATGAGTTTTGGGTTCCTGTATATTATTGTTTGGCCAATCTGATAGTTGTTATAGTTGGTCTAGTTTATCACAGTTCACAAATAGTCTCAAATTTAGGTAATTGATGGCCTTCCTGCTGAATTTGTGCTCGGAAAAGATGGGCATTCTCCTCCTGAAGCTCTCAAGGAGGCTATGCCATACACTCAATCTTTATTGGATCAGGGAAGAGGCATTGGCTACCATGCAAAGGCTGCACCTCCAACTGTCACTATGCCTCGCTTGAAGGTAGATTGATTCATGCTCTCTCTTGTGTGTGTAGTATAGTGTATTCTGAAGTTTAACATGTGTACTTTTCAAGCAGGCCATGGTTTCTGGCGCGATTGGGGGCTTTTTGGATGTTGCTTTTAATTTCAACACTCAAGCTCTCTTAGAAGACAACATTATTGGTGATGTCAAAATACATTTTTCAAATTTAGCTCAGTCGTTGCATTTCGTGTTACCCTTACTTCATCAGCTCTAAAACTATTTTGCTATACAGTTCAATTTCTTAGAGTTGGTTGGAAGATGGTGATGCATGGTGATGAAACATGGCTGAAGTTATTTCCGGGAATGTTTGTGAGGCATGATGGTGTTAGCAGTTTCTTTGTGAGTCTATTAGCATTTAACAGCCAAGACATTTCAACTATGCTTATTAGCAAAGTCCCATCCATGCATGGGTTCTTTATAATATTGTTTTTTTTAGACAAGTGAATAGATCCTTTAAAAAAAGACAAGTGAATAGACCATACCTATGCTTACCGTCTCTCTCTTATGATCTATAATCTATTTACCCATCGCGTCGTAGGCGAGCCTGTGCTCGTTTTATCTGTTCTAATATTTTTGAATCTGAAATTTCTATTTAGTAAATACCATATACTCCCTCCGTATTTCAAAGTTCCCTACACTTTCCTTTTTGGGCTGTATTTAAAAGTTCCCAACACTTCCATTTTTGGTAAGTTTACCCTTTACAAAATACTCAACTACCCTTACTTATCTACTTTTTATCTCCTCTTTCATACTTTTACACTCTATCTCCTACTTTTTTGACACTATTTACTACCCCTACTACTTTACTTCTTAAATAATGTGTCCAACCTAATGTAGTGAGCATTAAAATACGGAGAGAGTATGTATTTTATGAGTATATAACTTTAACTCATCAACTCTAATCTTAATATATATAAATTACATTGTAGTGATTACCTTGATCCAGTTGATGTTGTACCAGCCGGACATATGTATATTTTAGGAAAATAGAGATTATTAATAAGAAAGTAGAAAATTACAAGAAAGAGGAACGGGAGAATGTGAAAACAACAAGAGAAGGGGAGAGCAAAGAAGGAGAAAGAAAAAGAAAAAACCTAACCCACAATACTGTGAAATAATGAAACAGGATACCCTCTAAAGGGCCCTGACAGATATATTTATAGGGAAAAAGTTTAATGTAAAAATACATAAATATCCTTATTCTATTACACCCCCTCAAGCTGTGCGGGAGATACAACGCACATGTTGTCCTTTAAGAAATGAAAACGCTGACAGGGAGGCTCTTTGTAAAAATATCTGCCAGCTGCAAGTGAGTAGGAACATGTCTAACAATAAGATCTCCATGAGCGACTCGTTCACGAACAAAATGGTAGTCAATCTGGATGTGCTTACTTCGAGCATGCTGGACTGGATTAACAGACAAATAGGAAGCAAAAATATTATCACATAATAATTGGACAGGTTCGGTCACCAGGAAACCGAGTGCAAATAAGATTGACCGAACATGTAATGTATCCTGTACGGTGTAGGCAATCGCATGATACTCAGCTTCCGTAGAGGACTTTGACACAGTAGGCTGCTTCTTTGACTTCCATGATATGAGATTCGGTCTTTGAAATACAACAAATCCAGTGGTGGAGCGAGAACTATCTGGACATCCAGCCCAATCAGCATCAGAATAAGCGACAACACAAGTAGGTTTGGCCGAACGCTGGAGCGATAAACCATGATCACGTGAGCCCTGCAGGTACCTGAAAATTCTTTTGACTGCAAAAAAAAAGAGTAGTACGTGGGACATGCATAAATTGAGACATCAAGTGTACTGCATAAGTAATATCAGGCCGTGTCGAAGTTAAATATTGCAACACACTTACCATGCTGCGATACTCAGTGGAGTCTGAAAGTAGCTCACCGTCAGACAGAGATAACGTGGTGCGAGACACTAATGGAGTGCGAACAGGTTTAACCGTATGAAGATGGAAACAATTAAGAAGATCAGAAATGTACTTATGTTGAGAGAGAAATAGACCTTGATCGGTCCGATGCGCCTCAATCCCCAAGAAGTAATGTAAGTTACCCAAATCCTTCATGGCAAAATGATTAGAAATAATAGAGATGAACTGAAAACAACGGATTCAGAATTACCAGTAATAATAATATCATCTACATATAATAATAAATAAATGATAGTATTATTATGGCGATAGATGAAGAGAGAATTATCAGACTTACTGAGCCACATGATAAACAGATTTTAAAGTAAGCGGACGACTAGATGAAGGTAAGACAACATCACCAACATGACAAATGGGTAAATGGACACCATTGACAACACTAACAGAATTATAGCCGGTGTAAACAGATTTATTAAATAAATTACCTTCAGATGCAGTCATATGATCAGATGCTCCCGAATCAGGATACCATAAGGCCGAATTAGATTCACCAGAAGTTGTCAACATAGCCGGAGCAGATGGTTGAGTGAAACAAGATGGGCTAGTAAGGGCTGAGTGACTTGCAGAGAAACAGATTTGACAAACAACAGGATGAGGAACTGCACCAAGAATACCCCCATCTACCCCCATCTGATGACGAGCCTGCAGATCCAAAGTTAGTAGCACAGACAGGTAATGCATAAATATTTAATTGTGACACAGAAGAATAACCAAATACAATACCCGGTGAACCCGCGCCCCCTGCCGATGTGCTGCCTCCAACTGCAGACGCCGGTGACGAGACAGATGGTGAACCGGTTGGAAGGGAGAGACCGGCAGTTGTTGTTGAACCAGAAGACGCCACCGTAAAGCTAGGCGAAGCAGACACACCAACCGAGGCCAAAGAGGAGGCGGTGGCGGCGGTTGCTGCAGAGGCGGAAGAAGCGAAAGACATGGCGGCTGCTTTTTAGGGTTAGCCGAAAAAAATAAAAAATTTAGAGATAAGGTTGTGCTCTTGATACCATGTGAAATAATGAAACAAGATAACCTCTGAAGGGCTCTAAAGGGCCCTGACAGATATATTTATAGGGAAAGAGTTTAATGTAAAAATACATAAATATCCTTGTTCTATTAAATACAACATATAGTCCCTCCTAAGATAACCCTTAGTCTTCGTCAAATACTCAAAACTTCACTCGTGTTTGGGATCAAGTTCTCATAAGATGCAATCACTGCTTCTTTAGTTCTTTTTCCTATACATCTTAATTTGAGTGCAAGGTTGTTAAAATCGTATTTTTGGATTGAATCGGTGCATACATTTAAAAATCGAATCGTTAAATCGAATCGTAAATCGTAAGATTTTATATAAAGTAAAAAATAAAAATATTTATAATATTAGATGAAAGGAAACAATCAATTTAACATTTGTAAGTCAAACAAGAGGTATTACTTTTACAATCTTGTGTCAATAAAAGCTCAAAATAAGTGATTAGTTAACAAAAGTTTAAGTCTAAGCTCTAACGAATCGGAATATAATACGGAGTATATGGGAGTTGATAGTTATGTTGTTCAAAATATCTGTTGTTAGTGCTTTGATAAAGCTGAGGCGCTAGGTAAACTTTACACGTGGGTTTGAATCCCTTCAAGGCTTCAACAACGACGGCTGAAGTTTTACTCTTCAATTTTGTTCTTCGTCTCAATTATTTGGCGTCCCACGCCGGATCAAGAAGGATTTTCCGCTTCTCTATACTCTTATAAATTATGTTCTCCTTTACTTAACGTAGCAGCGAAAAAGACTCTAAGCCTATACTATGTCGTCGGGCCTTGATCTGGGCCTGATAGAGTCGAGCATTGCTTGACATTCAAATCCTAAAGTCGTTTGGAAATCGCGATTTTTAGCGATTTTAACGACTCAATTGCGATTTTTTTCCGATTTGTAGTAAAAACGGTTTTGCATACGAGTTGAATTGGTTGGATGGTTTTGAATCGTAAAATCGTACGTTTTTACGATTCAAATCGTGATTTTAACAACCTTGTTTGAGTGTTGAGATTGTCTGTAGGTAGACAATTTTCTCCTTTGACCATTAAGGCTTTGCTACAAATATTCTGATTTGTATCAGCATCCCATAAATCCTCCATCAATGAAATATGAGCCCTTTTCTCACATTTCAAAGTGTGGCCATGAAAATCATCCCCCGAATGTGTACAGAACTGCTCTTAAAAAGCTCCCTCACAGTAAAAAAAGCTTCAGTATACTGGTCACTTGAAAAAATGTCCCTTGAAAAATCTTTGTTTGCATAGCTAATATCTTTATCTTTGTGAGCAGGTCTCTTTTCTAAATTTTCCCGCGCATTCAAAGAAGATGCAAGGATTCTTTTAAATTCTTTAATTAAAAATTGAGAAAGTGAATCAACCCTTTACGACATAGTAATCTGAAAGAAATCCTTAATGTGTGCTAATGAAGAGTCATGTTCAGGTGTAAGCTCAAAGTTATTATCCTCGATAGAAGATTCAAAGGATGAAGAATGTTCAATATCAACTTGTAACAGTTTTCTCAAAATAGAATCATTCTGATGTGAGTGGTCCCTGTCCAAGGTGACAAGGTTCCACTCAAAGTTAGAGCTTTTACCTGAAAAATCCTCACAAGAAGGTTCAAGCACTAGAGTTGTCTGTTTGGCTGCAAATTCTTTCAACAAAGTATGTGCTCTAATTTTTCCAGAAAAAGGTTAATCCTCAATCCGTTCCTTCCCTTAGGTATAAATAAAGAAGCCCTACCTTTTCCAATGACGGTAGAAACCGCCAAAGAAATTAGCATCATGAAGAATACAAAGTGAATTCTTCAAGTCAAATCTATTGCAAGACCAATTATCAGGTAGTAGTTTGGATATGAAATCCTTCAGCCAAGTTATTCTATCGATACCGAGATCAACCGCAAACGGAAACTCATATTTTGATTCAGATATGCGGATTGTATTGCCATCAACAATATAGAAACAAAAATATTTGCTTTGAATCTTGGTTTTAAAAGGCACGAGGCGGCTTGAGGCGATTTCATCGAGTTACCCGAGGCGCGAGGCGCTAGGCGATGAGGCGCTCGCCTCACAGATCTCAACCACATTTCTTTGGTGAAATATTTTTATAGTACTTCTACATGAAGCACTCTTCTCAAAAATACTTCAAACTATTAAACAATCTTAATAAACATCATAAGAGAAACAAATATTTATTAAAGACGATAAGACAGAAGCAAGAATTCCAAATATATACGTACTGTTTATGTAAAATCAATGTACTGTTAAACTACTTTTGTTATATAGGCTATTTTAACAATTATTTTTTCATCCTTTTAATGTACGTTAAATTATATAGTATTATCATTGTTATGTAATAAACTATAAAAATAAT